TTGTCAATTAAAAATGTTACAGGTAATATTATTTTATATTAGATAGATTTAACGTATAATATTAATGGAGTTTTAACCTTTATTAATACATAAATCTCATTATAAAAGAAAGTATCATCCTAAATGATATAAAATTGAAATTAATGACAAAAGATAATTCATTGCGGATAAATTTAATATCTATAATAATATATAAAGAATTTGTTTTTACTTTTTTTTCATCCTCAATTTATTTAATATAAATAAAATTAAATAAAAATTATTTTATTTTTTCCACTTCTTCAATCATGTTTCTATTGATTTCTTATTTTAAATATAAATTAATAATTAAAATTAATCATTTGGAATTTAGCCTTTTTTCTTTTCTTAAAATTTCCTCCATTTTTATTTGGCTCTAATGATATATAATTTTAAAAAAATAAATATTTATATTTTTAAATTAATATATATTGAATTTAATTTATTAATTATAAAAATATCAAAATAAAGGCAAACAAACTTATTCATATTTTAAAAAAAAATACTCAATTACAAAACAATAAATCTATTGAATTTCTTTAACATCGTTAATGGTGATCAATTTTTAATTTAAACTGTAATCTTTGACTTGATAATTAAGGATGCGTGTGATTTTAGATTTCATCACATCCATAATTTAGTCCAATAAAAAAATTAATGAATTATTAGATCGAGTTTTTCAAAAAAAAATTATTTGAATCAATCCAATCCAATCAAATTCATCTTTAATCAGGTTTATATTTAATAGAGTAGATTGAGTCATATATTTTTAAAATTAAAAAAAAATAATTCAATTTTTTTATTTTAAAACAATTTTTACACTATTTTAAAAATAATTTTTTAATATTATAATAATTTAACGTTTTAAAAATGCATATTTAATTATTATAATTATTGAATAAATTAATTAATAATTATATTATTATCATTTAATAATTTAGATTAATGAGTTAGATTAAATAAAAATTAAATATACAAAATTCAGTTGTATTCAATATACTTCATTAAATTTACATGTATGTAACAAAATAATTTTATACATTTAGTAAACCGTATATATTGCATGAAACTAAAAGCGTATTAAAAATTATATATGAACTTGCTTTTATATTATTAAAAGTAAAAATGATTTGTTTCAAGCTGTATTTAATTTTACAACGTATCAGAAATTTTGTAGTAACTTTTTTCACATACACATTTTATTATTAATGGAATTTGTTTAATACACAACATTATAAAAAAAGAAAATATATTAGTGCTTGGTTCGATCTTTTGAAATTTTTATTTTCTGAAAAATATATAGGAAAGAATACAAATCGTTTTAAAATTAAGGAGCTTTTGTTTTTTATAAAAAAAAATGAAAATTGATTTTTGAAAACAGTTATATCTGTAATTATATTTGTAGATAAACACCGGGATCCACTTATGTTGATAAAGACAACATATGACTAACATGAATTTAAAAATATATAATTTTTAGAGTTTAATTAAAACATATTAATAATATAGTAAAAGAAATACGTAATTATCAATAAATAAAATTATTATATATTATATAAATTAATGTAGTAGAGATATAATTTAAAAATTTTAAAATAAAAATAAGATGGAGACACGTTGTAAATGTCTGCAGCGAGATGAGTACACGTGCAACACATGCGGTGACTAGTGATTCTGAAAACATTTCGCCAATAAGACCCACGCGCAGCAGTCAAGAAGTTTGAAGCAATTAGACAAAATATGGGAACTGTGGTGCACAGATTCTTTTCAGTATATTAATGACCCCATTTTTTTTACTTTAGTAGAAATAATTAAAATATGATAAAGATTAAATATTTACTTATCGTGATTAAATAAGAGGATAAAGCATAAACTATAAAAATAAAATTTACAATGAAAGAACCTCGAAGAACTAAATGACTGGACGGTGAAATCAAATTAAAAGAAAAACAAAACAAAACAAAAAGGTTGGGTTATCTACACAACACAGATTGCACTAAACCCAACCAACTACCATTTTTTGTTTTTGTTTTGGGGAATTTTACAATTGGATGAAGAATGGTCAACTCTGAGTGAAGATAATTTATGGATGCATTGGTAGTTTGAAAATATATGGAGAGTGGAAGATGATGAATGTGTTGAGAATTGACAAAGAGATTGAGGAGATAGGGTATATCACTTGACTTCATTCGAATTCTTTTTATAAATAATATATTTTAATAAAAAATATTTATTATTTTATTATATAATTAGAGTTATTTATTATTTATATGTCATGATTTTTTCTTATTTTTTCGTTTTTTCTTTCCTTTATATTATATTTTTCTTTTTTTCCACCTATTTTTTCATTAAGAGTATTATGTTAAATTTTATCAATAATATATTAAAATGATTTTTAAAAATTAATATTAAAATAAGAATAATAAATATTTAATTTTAAATTATTTTATTATAATAAATTAATTATTTATCTAATTACAAAATATTAAATATTTATTTTTATTTATTTATTTATTAATTTAATCTATTTATAATTAAATTAACTTCTGATTATTAATTATATTAAATAATTTTTAAAAAAATATTTATTACAAATATTTTTTTAAATATTTCTTATTTTTAATGTTAATTTTAAAAAAATTCATATGTTTTTATTAAATTTTAATATAATATTTTTAATTAAAAGAGTAAAATATAATAAAAATGAGAAAAACAAGAAATAGGAAAAAAACACAAAGAAGGAATGAGTAAACAAGTTAAAAGAGAAAAAAAAACTATTTTATGTTAACAAAATTTAGTAGTATAAACATTAAATATGTCTAATTAAATAAATAAATAGATATTTATTAAATTTATTCAACAAATAGATATTTAAAAAAGAGAATTTTTTTATTTTAGTTACTATTTAATTTATATTTTTAGAAATTAAACATATGTTTGAATGTCTTTAGATTTATCCTTAACTGTCCTTTCAAAACAATTATTCTATTTAATATTAATTTTTTTTTCAACTTAATATTCAGTTATTCATGTTGTCAATTTAAATCTAAATTTATTATTTTATTGTAAAATTAAGTTTTTTATATTTATTATTTGGCTTAATTAAACATAATTTCCATACAGTTTTAAAATTTTATACATTTATATTTTTTAAATTATATGTTCAGAAATGTATGTGTAGTATGCAAGATTATTGATTAATTATAAAATGAATAACAATGTTATTTTGTTACTAATTAGAGTAGAAAAAAATTATATTATATTTTAATCACAAATTAAGAAATATCATTGAATATTTTTCAAATTTAACCGTAGTTGCATTAAAAATATTTAATGCGATTATTTTACACTATTTCTTTCAATATACATTTAATTATTGCATAAAAGATTATTTTAAACTATTAGTCAATACTTTTTCTTCTATCCAATCAGAAATTATTATACAGATAAAAAAACAAAAATTACTAAATTTTATTAATTTTTATAAATTTAATTTGGAATGAATTTTAATATAAAATATGAAATCCAAATTTATATAAAAAAAAACAGGAAAAATACTAATAAAAATTGAATTCTTAACACTAAATACTTAACCAACTTTACCATAACAGTCAATAATTGATTTAAATGTTATGTTAAAAAATATATTAAAGTGACAAATTTTATTTCAATAGTCCAACATTTAATCAACTTGTTCAAAAAAATTAATAGTTCCAAAAAAAAGAATAACTTATTATTCAATTAAATTCACAAATCTTATAATACATTAAATTTATATTTAATGTGTACATTGACTCTTTTAATTTAAATAAAAATGGAAAATCAAATATAAATGAACTAGTTAACATTTTTTATATTGGATTAGAGATGATTATTGTAAAATTAAAACTTAACTCATTCTTAACTATGTACACATTATAATTGTCAATATTTACCACCATTCACATTGAAACAACTCCAATTTTATTAACTATGGTATTTCATTTGAAAATGATTAAAATACAATTTGACTTTTAACCCATGTAAAAAATCATAATCCTTGCTAAAAGAGAATTGCATTATTTTCACTTATCAAAAAATGTCGTAAAGGTGAACAAAGTTATACATTTAAAAAATGTCTAACCCATGGCATGAAATAATAGATATATATTAGCATCAAAATTCTATATCTTCCAAAATATTTCATAAATTAATAGAAGTTTATATAACATCAGAAACAAAATAACAAATGAAAGATTACTAAAAATGGAGTGAGATTATAAAACCACACAAAACTATGAGTTTGTTTAAAACTAAAACAATATAAAGTATTGAGTTTGTGGAAGTGTGAACATAGTTTGCCTTAAAATTATTGGTGTGACCAGAAACACAATCCTGATTTGGTCCTCAAACAAGATGATAACAATGACAAGGATGGGCCATAGATGGGAAATGTGCCTGAAAAATGGTCCCAAATTATTTCCTCACAAGAATAAAAAGAAGTAAATAATAATTTCATTTATTCACTTCCCAAAATCGATAGCAGTAAATAGGTAAAAAGAGAGAAAAGAAAACCCAATCATGTGGTTTCCCGAAAAGCCCCGTTGAATCCAAATCTACACCATTTAATTATTTATTCATATGCAGTAATGTAATCCAACAAAAGAAAAAAAAAATCCAAATAAAAGAAAAGCTGTGCATTATTTTTGGGTTTTTGAGTTTCAAAAGAAACAGCAACACAACGACACAAGCACAGCACAAAGACAACCTTAATTTTCATTTTCGGAGAAATTATAAAATAAAAAGAAATTAGAAAATCTCAATCCCTGGAAGCCACGAAGTGTTAGAATTTCTTGTCATTGAAGGTACCCCTCTTTTTGTTGCTTGACCCTCAATCAAGACCCATCTTTTCCGTTTGGCGTAGGGAACTACAGCACTGAAGCCCTAATCACCATATCCATCCAGCTTCATATCACCCCTTTTGCTCCTCCTCTTCCAGCAACATGGGTCGCGAAACTGTGTTCCTTCCAGCCCCACCAACCACTGCCACCACCACAGTGAACCCAGTGGTAGCACCAACTGCACCACCTACCTCTCTTGCTCCTGGTTTCAGGTTCCACCCAACTGACGAGGAGCTTGTTATCTATTACCTCAAGCGCAAGGTTTCTGGCAAAAACTTTCGATTTGATGCTATATCTGAAGTGGATATATACAGGAGCGAGCCCTGGGACCTAGCAGGTCACTCCCTTTCCCTAAATATTTAACTTTTCTCACTTTTTCTGTGCTTAAATTCAGATTTTGTTTACTGTTTTATTTTTGTGGGATGTGTATTTTGTTTGGTTTCTCAGCTGTTTCATTTGATGGGTTTTTTAGTGTTCTGATGCTTTTATATTTTACTACTGTGAATGGTGAATACTTGTTTAGACAAGTCGAGGTTGAAGACCAGAGACCAGGAGTGGTATTTTTTTAGTGCATTGGACAAGAAATATGGGAATGGTGGGAGGATGAACAGGGCTACCTGCAAAGGGTATTGGAAAGCCACTGGGAATGATAGAGCAGTGAGACATGAACAAAGGACCGTGGGTTTGAAGAAAACTTTGGTGTTTCACAGTGGGCGAGCTCCTGATGGGAAGAGGACTAATTGGGTCATGCATGAGTACAGGCTTGTTGATGAAGAGCTAGAGAGGGCTGGGACTGGATCCTCTCAGCCTCAGGTGAGATTATAGAATTAATTTTAGAAATTGTAGCCTGATTTGGGCCTAAACTGTATGATTTGTGCTGTTTCCCTGCAGCAACCGGGGACTTCCCTTGTTTTCTTGTTGGTAAAATAAGGAGTTTAGCTTCCTTATGTGGTTTCCAAACCAAAATTGTGTATGTGACACTTGGATGCAGGTGTTTGAGCTTTGTTCTTTAGTAAATGTCGAAAGAATAGTTTGCTACGTACTGCAATATGGACATTGTTATTGTGTTACACATGGTTAATAATTTTTGTGTATTTCTCTTCTGGATGGAGAAGGATGCATATGTTTTGTGTAGAGTATTTCACAAAAATAACATAGGACCTCCAAATGGGCAACGATATGCACCCTTTGTCGAGGAAGAGTGGGATGATGCATCGGGAATGGTTCCAGGGGCAGAGCTCATGGATAACAGCTCTATTGCCCACCAACCACGCGTTGAAGGCAACCGTGGTGTTTTGTGCGCAGAAGGGAGAAATGGTGTTGCACAGGTTAGTTCCCTCCAAGTTTTGAGTGTATATTCAATTTATTAATGGTTAAATTTGTGGATTTATCTTGGAATAAATTTATTGATGCTTTACATTTAATTTATCACGACCATTGAATATTCATTAAAAAAAATATTGTTATCAATGGTGGATGGCAGAAGGTTAAGCTTCCACCATATAAAAATGCTCCGTTGCAGCTCTGGGACTGCCATAGCAGGCCTCCCTTCTCAAATTGCCTATGGTGATATAGGCAAGCAATCTGCTGCACCATTCAGCATGGTGCTACCATTTACCAACATTGTTAAAAAGTGATTGAATATATAAAAAGTTGATCATAAATATTGGACTTCAACGGTAAAAACTTTACCAAGGGAATAGGTAGTTTTGTTGCATTTTTTTTAGCTTTCCATGTTAAGTAGGACTCTTTATCCTCCAAATTCATTGCATCTTACATTTTGCCATAACTTTTAGGGAAAAAAAGTAGAATTGATAACTGGTCCGGTTCAATTTATTATGTTGATCATATGTCAGTTGTAAATGTATTTAAATATTTTGTTCGTTTTTCTCATTTCTTCCCATGGTGGAGTCTTTATCCTGCATATCCCGCTAATTTGTTTATTGTTGTCTTAATGTTTTCATCTTGAATGTTCGTTGAGCTTTCTGAAATAGGTGGTTGATCTTTCATCCCTAATGTTCTTATTTTCAGTGGAATCTTGCAACATGAAAGATTGCATTTTGTAGATAGTTAATTTAGCACAATGGGGCTGTGACACAGGAGGCAAATTTCGTGTGTTTGGTTTATCTTATTTTGAATAAATAAATTGTCAGATTTCTAAAAGATCTTTTGAGAAAAAAAAAAAATTACTTACCCAACATAATTTGTTTTCAAACATGCACCAAACTTCATTTTGGGTGGAATTTGCATGCAGTGTAAACGTTCAAATACCACTGTACCCTAAAGATAACATTAGAAATTCGTTGGATTGATGTATTCTTGATGCACGTTGTGGAAGTGGCATTGTGGAAACTTGTCTTACGTAAGAGTCCATGTAAGATCATAGGATTCTATAAACTACAGATTAAATCCCAAAGACAATGGGACAGAAATGAGCAAGCACTCATTTCAGAGCGAAGAGCCATTTTATCTTGAAAAAGAGGGTGAAAATGAAAGATATTGAATTTGTGAGTACATTTGTAGGAACTAATCTGATTCACTAGCTTTACTTTTCTTTGTGAAGGTGTGAACCCTTCCAAGGACAAAACAAGATGTGGTTGTCACTTTTGTCCAAGGCCATTGATTTAATTGGGCATGGTGTTGCCATGAACACAATGATGAAGTAGTTGCAACAAAACTTCTAACAGCAAATGGTCATGGTTCAAATACCTTTATCCACAAATTGGCTATAGAGGATGAATAAAGAGACCAATTTTGCTCCATTGGAAGGGAGAAACTCCATAAAAGTTTTGATACCATCTACAATTAGCACATTAAGGGTTCCATTAGTTATGAGTTCTCAATTTGCAAGGATAATGTTTTTGTTATTGACACAATAAAGAAGCCTTAGGTATCTCATCCTTAATATCACAAAACCAAGTTACCTAAAGGACTTTGACTAGCATGGGTGTTAGAGTTGTTGGTGTGGTTGTATGTGATTAGATTAGATATTGTTTCTAATTAAGTAGGATTGGGATTGTAATTACTATAACTAGGGGGTTGATTGTGTATAAAATTTATTTTTTCTTTCGTTCATAATTTCCATAATTTGGGTAGTCTTATTAGGGTCTATATATACGTATTAAGCAAAATAGTTTAGTCTTTTTTCCAGATTTCCCAGCTGGTTTACAAAATTGTGATTTTAGGGGCTCTGCGTAAGTCCTCAAACGAAGGTTGTCAAAGTTAAGATTATGGGTGAGGGGTTCACAAGATTATAACTCATAGGATTGTTATATAGAACTAGATCCTACTCTTGTATGAATATGAAATATGTTCCGATACTCTCATAAGTTTCACATCGCTTAGGAGTTGAGATTAATGTACATCTTCTTCTCTCATGAGTCCCACATCATTTTTTTTATTTCAGTTTTGACATCATCTTCCTCAACATCAAAAATTGGTTTTTAATTAATCTTTGTTGCAGACCTACAATAATCTCAAACATTTCCTTGCCAAGTGGTGCTTCAAGTGATAAATGTTTGCATTGAATTTTTCTTATATCTTCATTTGTACATATTCCATGCCAAGTGGTGCTTCAAGTGATGAACGTTTGCATTGAATTTTTCTTATATCTTCATTTGTACATATTCCATGCTTCTAAGCCAAGTTTGTTCTACTACCCCAAGCATTTTTTGCCACTTTCTTAAATTGAACATTTTATGAGGAGGGACTGTCATTGTTGATGGAAGTGAGAACATCATTAGAGGGACCATTAGAAGACCCAATACTAGCTGAAGATATTATAGTGATTTGCAGAAAATGAACATACAGCACAAAATGAATGATATAATAAGCAACAATAAGATTGTTTGCAGAATAGTAACATGTTTCCACGTTTTGGTTATGCCTAAATCTATTTGTAGAAAATTAATTTGATGCAAAGCATCGGTTACAGTGGAGGAGAAAACAAAGTTAAGTGAAAGAGAAATGAAATAGAGTTGATTGGAGGAGAATCGAAATGAAGCGTCAAGTTGAGTTAAGGAGAAATGAAATGAATCAGAGCACGATATAGGAGAAAACAATTTTGACAAGAAGAAAGAAATAAAATGTTAACTACATGTGTACATGAAGAAAAGGGAATAACAAACACTCTCTTTTAACTTTTTTATTTTCCTTCGTGGACTTGAAGGGAACAAAATCTGACCCAAAACCTGCATACCCGAACCCCTAACCCGAAATGCACAATGATTCCACGTTTTTTCCAATCGTAGACGTTGATTCCACCAATCGCACACTATTCCAATCACCCGTGACACTGAGGTGGAAGCAAGGTGCGCAATTGAGGAATCGTGCAATTTCACGATTTTCCTCTTGATTTTAGTTACAATGATTCAACCCTACTTGCCTTCATTGCATGACTTTTTGTTGGCACGCTCAATGTGCCTTTACAACTGCAAACCAGTAAGGTTACACTATTAGTACCTTTGACCTCCACCATTGCCACATCATCTCCCGCCTCCATGGTCGATCTAACCAATGATCCTATCAGGAGAATTTCTTGATAAGATTGACTTATTGTTGAAGTTTGGATGTCATCTATGTGCTGACATTATGTTTACAACCACAATCATTGCAAGTTAGACCCTGGGGCTATGAAATTTGTTTTCATTGGGTATGCCTCTAACAAAAAGGGATACAAGTGTTATTATCCGTAGATTTGTCGTGCCTTTGTTACTGTTTTACTGTGGATGTAACCTTTCTCAAAACTGTCTTTTTACATTGGTCCGCATATTCAAGGGAGAGTTGTCAGGAAAGAAGCTACTATTAAAGAATCAGTTGCAGATTCCGAAGAACTAGTTGTTCCAGTGAACACAGGACAAGTACAAGTACACAATAAAGTAGATAATGTTGACAAATACTACCAACACTAGCATCTAAGAAAAACTACTTGATACCTATCATTTGTTTGTGGAAAGGAAAATTTTCTTCGGCCAAGTATCCTATATCTCATTTTGTATGTACTAAAGATTTCCAAAACTGTCCAAGATGCCTAGAGGATGAAAACTGTGTTCGAGCCATAAATATAGAGATGTGGAATGTAGATGGATATGGTGAAATATCAATTTGATGGTATATCGGGTTTGTAAGGCAAGGTTAGTTGTAAAAGGATATATTCAAACATATGGAATACTCTACGAGAAAACATTTACTCATTTACAACGAAGAACACCATTGGGATTACTCTCTCATTGGTAGCTCACTGGAGGGAAATCTACAGCACAATGATGTAAAAATGCATTTTTGCATGGAAACTTGGAAGAGGAGGTGCGTATGGAGATCCTAATAGGTTATGATTCTGCTAATGGAGGAAGGAAGGTCTGTGCAAGTGAGTAGAGCATTTTATGGGCTTAAGCAGTCTTCACATGCTTTGTTTGGGAGGTTCACCTCGAGTATGCTATCTTTGGGGTATGAGGAGAGTCAAGGCTACCACATTTTCTTTACAAAGCATACGATTGTTGTAGACAACAAAGTTGAACCAAATTTTACGAGAGTTTGGTTAGAAACTCAGCATAAAATGTCGAAGTATTTTCTCGAAATAAGTGCCGCCTAATCTACAATTCATCTTCATCTTGAAAGAAAGTACACCTTTGATCTTCTTAGAGAGATAAGCTGGATAGACTAGAAACCATCTAGAGTGTCCATTGAGTAGAATCACCAGATAGGAAGCCAAGGGGAGAGCCCAAATATTGTGCAGATATCCACGTGAAAGACATCTACAATAGTAAATAAGAGAGATCAATACTTCATACTTCATCTACAAGTCTAGAGTGAAAAATTACCCATGGAAGTAGATGTAGACATAGACTATAAAGTGATGATATAGATAGAAGATTGCCATAGGATATTTGCATGTTCTTGGTTGGAAACTTGATGACTTCGAGGTGTAAAAAGTAAAATGTGGTTGAAAGGTTGAGTGCAAAGGTAGAGATTGGAGCTATGGCTCATAGAATTTGTGATGTGCTATAGATTTAAGATCATATTTGATAACCTCAGCATAAATTATGAAAAAGCTAAAGACTATATTATGATAATAATCTGTCATCAACATTAAACACAATCTGGTGCAAGACAACAATAGCAAACACGGAAATAGACTGACCCGTCATCAAAGGTTAAGAGAGTGGTCTAATAAGTACTGTAAACATCCTCTTGGTGCTTCAATTAGCAGAGTTGATTTCAATGGGGCTCCACAGAACAATTTCAGTCTTACTCGCAGTTGCAAGTGAAGAATAATAGATATCCATTCACTACCTTGAGGTAAAGTGTTGGCATGACCTTATATGATAGGTACTATCTGTAATTAAGAGGATTGTGATTGTAATTACTGTAATTAGAGGTTTGATTATGCACAGTTTTATTTTGTGATTTGTTTCCTTATTTCATTGATTAGGGTACTCTCATTTAGATTTATATTTTGTGTATAATTTTTCTACGTATTAATCGAGAGAAGCAATTTCAATCTTTGGGGTCTTGCATGTCTTTGTGCTGGGAGTTTAAGGGTCATGCTAAGTAAAGACTTCTAAGGCTTTTGGTACAGTGGGTAGTGGAAAGAAATCCAATAATAAAGAAAACTTTAGATGAGACAAAATCTGAAGTGTTTGATATGAAAGAAGCCATTGGTGTGAATCTTGAGCTCACAATAATTGTTCTTTGCTTTGCGTATATTGAAAAGGACTCTACAGTTTGTGTGTGTAATAAGGAAGGCTGTGAATCTGCGAGAATCATGTTTTAGAAGAAGTATATTTTCCTTAGACCTAAGTATTCCAAGGACAAGAAATCTTGCAAACATCAATCATCATCATTAGATTCATAGCACTCTTTTACGACTGGTTTCATTATATTTCCTTATTTGATTTGATTAGGAATGTAGTGCTAATTAACGACTGTATGCTCTGGCCATATCATATCATTACACATCATATAGTATAGTGATACAGCATAGTCACCTTTCACTCACAAATAACATTTGAATAGTTTGTTTTGTTGTGATCCCTGATTTTAGGGCTTGTTTAATTTAATTTTGTCTTTTAGTTTTTAAAACCATTTCAGAGATCAATTTTGAAAAAATGTTTTTTGAAAATAAGTTGGGAAAAAAACTTATTTGATAATTCTATTTTTAAAAACTATTTTAGAAAGAGAATGACAACCGAAAAATTGTCACAGAAGTTATGAAACGATTTTAATAACATTAATGAAAATGAGTGATTTAATGTAATTATGAGTGAAAATGTTAATATCAGTATAAAACTGATATGGCTGCTGGATATTTGCAAATATCATGCATTGAAGTTGTGGCTGCTGGATATGCTATACAAGTGCATCCAAAACTTAATTATAAAAATTGAAAAAGATAAAAGCTCTAAGTTGACCCTAGGCGGAAACCTATAGTGATAAGGAAACCCTTTTTTACTTTTTCATGTTTTTGCATTCTAGTTTTAGCTTCAATAGGGGAAGAATATTAAAATGGGTGGTCCAATTTAGCATGGTCTAGTTCTACCGGTGAAGTAAAGAAAAAAACAATTCACCTATATTTTAAAGTAGGTCATAATTGGGTTAATGAACCAACAAGGTTGAAAATTTTAAAAAGATCATAATTTATCTATATAAAACAAATTATCCAAAAAGCTAATCTAAAAAATAAAACAAATTAATTTTTATTTATATTTTAAGAAAATAATATTTTTTAAAATAATTCTTAATTTATACAAGAGTCGATCTCATGTGTCTACCAAGATATAAGCTCATTTAAGTCATAGATTAAACACTTTCGGGTTGTTCTATCGGATTATACCTAGTTTGGTACCTATTCCAAATCATTTGATATTGGAAGTTACTGGTGGTGACATTTTTTTTTTTTTTTGGTTGGGATAGTCCAAAATTGCTGGTTTAGTAAAGTGTTGATGATGCTGTTGATTTTATTAGTAGAAGAATTAGCTTCTAATTTTTATGTTTCTATCGGCTAACAATGATTCACGGATTTGGAACTTGACTCGTCAAATATGTTTTTCAAGTATGTTTTAGTAGTCTCTCTTGGTTCTTAAGATTTCCAGTTTTAACAACATATTAGAAGACTAATGACTCAATTGTGGATGGTGGAAGTTTATTCGCACATATATGCTGTGTTTTACAAAGAAACAGTTCTAAGTTCTTATTACTCACCATTCAGTGGCTTCACATTTGGTTGTGTTGTAATTGTTGCAGGACACTCAGTCTATCAATAGAACTCCATTTGATGTGAACAAGCTTCCTATAGAAACTCAAAATCTTCTAGCTGTGTGCAAGAGGGAAAGCATGGCTGATTATCCATCTCCTGAAAAGGATGATAACAATTGTAAGCACATGGATGAGTACCCTTCACCTCAAACAGACAATCCAAAGCCTTTCTCCCAAATTTACAAACGAAGGCGGCAGCATAACTCGAACTCCAACCACAATGTGTCTGGAGATTCGATCCGAACCAGCCAGGACCCGTGCTCCTCCACAATAACTACTGCCGCAACCGCACTCCCAACCACCATTGCTGGTGCCACTACCACCAACACTGCACCGAAAAAACATTTTCTGTCTGCACTGGTGGAGTTTTCCCTGCAAGAGTCCCTTGAATCTAAGGAGAGTCTTGCTTCGATTAAGGCACCAGATTTTGACGCGGAAATCCCCGAGTCATCCATGCCTCCAAGCTGTGCTAAGTTCATCAAGAACTTGCAGAACGAGATGCATAAGCTTACAGTTGAAAAGGAGACGATGAGGTTTGAGATGATGAGCGCTCAAGCGATGATTAACATTCTCCAGTCTCGCGTCGACGTTCTGAGCAAAGAAAATGAGGAGTTGAAGAGGATGGCCCAAAATCCTTAGAAATTGGCAATGTCATGACATGCCCTTGTATCAGTTTAAGTTAGTTACAGCTGAGTGATGAAGCTCGGTGTTCCGGATATTTTATTTTTCTGAGTAAGAATTTTAGTTGGTTTCTATGGCTAAACTTGTCAATGTTACCATTTCAAACTTTTCATTGTGTATCATATGACTTTCAATTTCCCATTGCTGTGAAAGTGGCCATGTTAGTTCTTTCTTCTCAGATTGAATAGATTAGCTTCTCAATTTAATGGCTGAAATTTTATGATGTTCTTTCCATTGAGTGTTAAGGTAAGCTACACAAGTTATACTTCAAGTGATGAGAATCTTTTTTAACACACTTTGTGATTGAAACTTATAAATCATGAAATCATGTGAATCTCACTCACTTGAACGTTTAAGAAGCTTTACTCATAATTTTTGTTGGTTTTGGTAGATTTTAGTATTAAGGTTTTAGTGTATTGTTGACATTCTTCACTAGTAATGTAAATGAATTAAGTTATTTGAAAATTATTCACTTTTGACTTGTTAAATGTCCAATAACATTTTATGAAATTTATTCCTAACTATGAAAGTCTATTCATAGATAGGAATGGACACAAAATGATTATTTGATAGTTAATTGTTTTTAAAAATAGTTTTTTTTTTAGTTTTAAAAATTAAAACAATTATTTGGTAATTATTTCGTGGACTTCCATAAAGTATAACAAGGTGTGCATTCACTATGACTATTGAACCTTTGTTTTAATTAATTTTTATAAAACTATAAAGATTGTTAATAAAAAAAATTATTTTTAAGATCTTTAGGATTATTAAATTACTACAACTTATGTTCCAAGATCTTGAAGAATTAAGATGTCAAACTTAACCGACCTTTTTCCTATATGTAGATTTCATTTAATTACCAAGTCATAATAAAAGAAATTGATTCTAATTATTTTACTTTATTTCTGAAACATAGCTATCATCATAATCTTTAAAATTATATATATATATATATATATATATATATATATATATATAACTGTAAATTTTTATTATGTTCATCACTGTCTATATTTTTTTAATAATTAATTTTTAAATGATTTTAAAAATTCTCTTTATTTTTTAATTATATTTATTTTTGTTATTAATTGCATATTATATTTGTTTGTCTCTCATATATTTATTACTTTTTTAAATATATAAATTATAATAATTTTTTTCTTTAAATTATAATACTTTTCTTTTTCTAAAAAAATTTGACATTATAGATACATAATTTTTTATTCTTTTTACCTTTTTAGTACATTCAGCAAAATGTAACAACAAAAGCCTGATTTTAGTATTTAACATGATAAAATAATAATGAATATAAATATTATAATAAATTTATTAAACATCAATTAAACTAAAATTATTTAATCATGTTATTTAAATTATAATTTAATTTGATCTCTAATTTTAGTTATCAAGATTTTAGTTTAAAATATAATTTTAATTAGTAATTAATCTATATGTAATAAATTTATTATAGCAAAAATTTGAAAGTTCATATTGCTTTCCTCAATCAACATTGGTTTACCATTATTAATTGTTAAATAATCTGAACTTGGAATTGTTCCAACACTTATCATAGCAAATAGATAATCAAATTAGTTTCTAATTAGTTATTTTCTGCAAATTTTCTTGTAAAAAATTGTTTAAATTTGTAGGAAACTTATCTCTTGTAATTTTTATAAAAAAATTATAAAAATATTCTCATAAAATATGAGAATTTACAGTATAAGTAGTCTGTAAATTATTGATTTAAAGTTTTTTTTAATGATTATTTAACTATATTTTTAATTATTAACGTTTACTTATATAATTCTTTTATTTTAGAAACTATTAGTAGCTCATAAAATATCGTACCAAATACAAAAAAAAAAGAAAAAACTATCTATATCCAGGGCTGAGGACATTGATGAAACAAAGAAGAGAAGACAGAGAAACATGAACCAAACAAAGGATGCAGAAGCTCAGTACAATAGTGGACCTCACACACTCAATATGTATATATATAGTGAGAAACACAAAGAAATGCAAGAAAATACTCAGCTACACACAAGAACAGATAGAGAACCATTAGCTTGTTGTTTCTAAATCAACTCAAATGATATTCATCAGGTTTATAACACATTATATGCATGACATTAACCAAATGATCAAGAAAACAAATCAAATGAACCACGAGCCAAAGTATCAATAAGAAAACAAGATATCATAAAGAAAATAAATACAAAAGGTAAAGTAGGAGGAAGACCAAACTCAATGTGCAGACACTGTTCGATAGGGTTTTTTTGTGCTTCTTGCTTGGTTCGCCTCTTTCTGGATGCTTGTGTATGTTGAAACAACTGGAAGAAAAATGAGAGTATGTTGTGAGTTCATTGTCTGTGAAAACAAATGAGAGTAATGAGTGAGAGGACTGGGAATAGAAATGTAGCTATAACAAGTGATATGATAAAAAAGAGAGAGAGAATAATAATAATGATAAAAAAATACGATGTTGCTTTTGGTTTTGTGTGAGTGAAAGAAAAGTGGTGGCAAATGTGGTGCGTAGGGGAGGATAAGGTGCGACAGAAATGGTAAAGAGTGGTGGAATGGTGCGATGTTGGGCCAGAAAAGGAAACCATGGGAGACACTGGAAAGAGAATTTTCCCTTACACCCCAAATAGCGTGCACCATATCCACCAACATTATTCTTTGTTTTTCTGTTTCTGTTTAACTTTTGTGTTTACTTTTTCATTCTCTCACGTTTCACTATTTTCTCAAATGTAGAAAGTTTTGATTCCTTTCTGATTTTAACAGCAACTTTTTTAAAAGAACTGGTTTAAGTAAATAAAAGAATTATAGGGGTTTTTACAATAATTTTTTTTATGCAAAAGAAGAACATCAACAACTTATAAATTAATTTAGGGGAAATTGAGTGGTCACAATAATCTTTTATCAACATGTTAAAGTAAAAAATCATAATTAAATATTAAATTTATGTATAAAAAATATTAAACGGAACAATATTGTTTCAGTGTCATGTGATCATTTAACTAACACATTTATATATTTAATTTATTTGATTATTTTATCTCTTAGTTCGGCAAGATATGATTGTTTATAACTAATATCATCACCCGTGGAAATGCACGGTTTCTTTAAATTTTTCTATTAATAATAAATAGTACTTTAATATTAATAAAGAAATAAGAAATAAGAAGAAAAATAAAAAATAAATGTTATAAATGATCCCAAATTTTTAATTTTTTAAATGCAAAAGCTATGTTGAGAAATATTCTGTAACATAAAAAAATCTTATAATAGACTAAAGATTATGTAGTACAAAATTAAAAAAAAATTACCTGTTTGATTTCTATATAACCTGAATATCTACGATTGAGTATAGTATAATATATATGAATAATTTGTAGCAACGATAAATAAAAAATATTGGTGTAATAATATAAATTTGATATATGACATGAAAAAGATAAAGCTATGGAGGAATATTGTAAACTTATAATACATAATATATATCACTCAATGAAATAATATAATGAAATAAGAAAAATAATAATAATGATAAATTATAATTTGTAAATTAGTTATATCATCATTAATAAAATTATACAACTAATTTTATAATCATTGAATGAATATAATTTATAAGATATAATGAACATCATAAATATGATTTTCATAAACTAAATAATTAAAAAATATATAACAAATAAATGAAGTAGGTATGTAATTTTTCGTATTATAGTGTACTTGTATGTGTTTATAGATTTTTAAAAATTTCTTTATACACTACATTTTTAGTATATGATGCTACATTTTTTTCATTTAATATAAATATTTTCGAGTCCTTTCTTTGTTTTAACTCCGGAAATAGTTAGATAGAACTGACCATGAGTAAATACTCGATGCTACATTGTCACTTATGTTTGTATTAGTACATATTCCTTAAAAAACAATTGTTCCTGTATATACTCTTTCTATTCTCAATAATAAATATAAATTGTTTCAACCACCATCTCTTTGTCTCATTTCATATGATTATATACCAATAAAGGAACATGCCATAATTTTAATAATGCATTATAATTAAATTAAAACCATGAAAAATGAGATGATTTTAAAAAAAATGAAATAATATGGACATGAACAATTAATTGTTGACAATTTGGAATCTTAAGTAGCAAACCATAACCATTACTTAATTGAAAAAGATGGATTCAACATGTTTTAGAATGAAAATACAATTCAAAGATTATTTCCCTTCATAAATCTTGATACATTCAGAATCTTAAGAGGTCAAAGTGTAGGAAAAGTACATGCATCATGCACCCATAATAAATTTTCATATCATACATATCATGCATTACATGTCACACTTTACATATCATGCATTACTTGTTTAAGTTAAAAGTAAATACATATCCACAAACTTCTACTCATACATAAATAATCAATTTACAGCTTTAAATTATATGGATTACAAAGTTCTTGGCGTTAAGTCTTCAAGCCCATTTTCAAGTTTTCATTATCTCAAATCATAGCTTTATATTCGACCCTCGAGTCCACCTTCAAATTTTCAATATTTTAAATCATAATGGATCTCGAGCCCGACTTCCATAATATAAATTCAAATTCAAATTATCTAATAAAACTTAATTAAAAAGGATAACTTTAAACACCTCATTTTTTCCAATAAAATAAATGAAAATTTTCAAATAAACCAAAATTAAAAAGAAACATAGAAAAACAATAAAAGGAAAAACATTTTTTTTCTTTGCCCATGCGAGTCAGTCCCATTTTCATACTTCACCCTCTCCTCTCTGCTACACTGCTTCAACCCCTCTCTTCACCCTCACCTCTCCTCTCTGTTACACTGCTTTTGCCCTCTCTTCACCCTCTCCTCTCCTCTCTGCTACACTGCTCTAGCCCTCTCTCTTCACCTTATCCTCTCTTCTCTGCTATAATGCTCCAGCCAGCAACACAATCCTGCTCCAACCACCAACATGCCAGCCTCCAACCACCAACATAACACTGCTCTCGCGACCAACATGCCAACCTCTAGCCACTAACACAATCTTGCTCTAGCCACCAACACAACACTGCTCCAACCCTCTATTCTTTACTACACTACTCCAGCCACCAACACAATACTGCTCTAGCCACCAACATGGTAGCCTCCAACCATCAACATAACATTGATTCAACCCTCTCTTCTTTGCTACACTACTTCAGTCACCAACATGCCAGCCACCAACACAATACTGCTCCAGCCACCAACACAACACTGCTCCAGCCTACTCTTCACCCTCTTCTCTCTACTACACTGCTTCAGCCACCAACATGCCAACCACTCTTCACCCTCTCCTCTCTGCTACACTACTCCAACCACCACCACAATCTTGCTTCAGCTATCAACACAATACTGCTCCAACCACATTGTGCTACATGTTACCAGATATTGGGCTCTATAAATTAAAAGATAACATGTCAGCCACCAACACAATCCTACCTCAGCCACCAACACAATACTGCTCCAGCCACATTGCCCTACATGTTACCAGAGATTGGGCTCTACAAATTGAAATATAACCTTAACAAAAAGGATTTTTTTTTCATGAACACAGATAAAAGAAAGAAATAGTAATAACCAACACACAAACCCAACAACAATCAACAACAACACAAACCACAATCAACAACAATATACATTTCAATTTCAGTGAAACTCGCACATAGGTTCCCAATCCACTATCACTTTGTATGTATTATTGTAACATTGGTATGTATTATTGTAATATTGGTAGTCATGTTCCCAATCCACTATCCACTTTGTATATAGTATTGTAATATTTGTAGCCCTGAAGTATTTGTTGTATACCTAATGTGATACCAGATTGTACATATTTCATAACAACTAATAAAAATTATAAAAACAAATAAAAATTCATTTATCATCACCACTAGCGGTCACCACAGTGAGCCCACCGCACCACCTCCACTCTGCTTCCCTTCCACTCATACTCTCTATTTCTCCTCTAGTCGCAACCACTACCACCTTCACTTCTCCTCACTCTCATTTCAACCTCACTAGAACCTGTCATCCAAGACTGCTTCTCCCCTCATCTCCTCTGGTCGTCGTGTGCGTAGCTAATACCATCGTGAGACCACCGCAAACCGCCCAATTAGCCCACTAACCTTTTCCCCCAAATCACGAACCCTCTCCTCCCCCACACCAAAATCGTCATCACCATCGTCACCTCTTCTCCCTAGCCACTGCAGTAGGCACTCGTGCCACCACAGGTCACCTCAATCGAACCACCCTCATCCAAACTGCGACTTGGTTGCCTCCTTCGAACTAGGCATGGCAACAGGGGCGGGGCAAGTTTCAATTCCCCGATCCCCGCCACCTACTTTTTTAATTGTCACCATCCCCATTCCCGCTGTAAAATGTAATAAATTAATTAATTTAAAAAGTTAAAAAAAAAATTAAAAATACATAAAAAAAATTAAAAATGGTAAAATATAAAAAAAATAATCTTATAATAATAAAAAAAGAGATATTTTTAAAATATTAATATTTTAAAATTTAAATATAAATATAAAATTGAGGTGCTGACGAGAACAAGGTAAGAACAGGTCGAGCCGAGATGGAGATTGCATTACCCATCTCGCACCCTGCCCCGACTTTTAAAACGGGAAAATCGGAACTCAGTCCGCCCCAATCAACTCGATTTTTCCTAGCCAACCTTAAACCACCGCGTCACGTCTCCAGTCGCGCTGTTTTCACTCTCGTCTCACATCACATGGAATTGCCCTCACTCTCGTGTCACGTGGCGCCCCCTCCCCTCTTTTTTCCTTCAATATTAGGTTTATGTGCGTTAGGGTTAAAGAGAAACATGTTTTCAATAAGAAAACATGGGCTTAAGAAAGGTGTGACCCAATTTGTCTAGGAGTAGAAACAATAGCAACAAATTTCTAATAGTGAAACGAATTAATCTCGAGTCCTGCAGATTGGCAGGGAATTTTTGGATCGATAGTCTAAATTGGATAAAAAAATAAATAAGTTTCAAATAGTAAAACAATTATGAAAGAAATTTTATTTTTATGAGTTATTGGGCTTAATGTTTTTTTTGTTTGTTTTGTTTTGTTAAACTAGAGAACATAATAAAAAACAAGTTACAAATAGTAATGAGTTGAAAATTTATTATTATTATTATTATTATTTTATCCAAATTTCAAATAAAAATATTTATTTTTCTTCTTCTTAAAAATAATTTAAATTAGTATATTATTATTATATTTACAATTAAATTTCAATAATTATCACCTTCTTTTCTTCAGTGATATTAAATATTAAAATAGTAGGAAAATATTTCATAAAAGTTCAACTATTTTGGATGCACATATAATTTGGTTGCTATAAAATTATAATATTTCAAATGTACTTTTGACTTTATTATAATAAAATATTTTCAATATATATTTTTTAAATCAAAATAAAAATTACAAGTATAATAATTTAAACATTTAAATTACTTTAGATGTACTTCCAATTTAATTATTACTTAAATTATAAAAATAATAATCACTTTAGATATACTTCTAATTTGATTATTGCATAATTATTCAACTTTAAAATAATCTCAAACATACGTTTAACTTAGTAACACAAATAGTAAATTAAACTAAATTATTCACAAATATTTTTAAGAAAGAACTATGTTACGTATATGAGGGTACATAGGAGCGAGGAAGATAATTTACGTCGAGCTAAAAATATATAATCTATTATTTTAGTAACAATATTTAATAAATACATAAGTTTGAGAAATAAAAATAGATAATTTTGAAATATTTAACTTTTCAAGTCCAATGTTATAGGGTGCTAATATTTTTCCTACATATAATGGACTATCATTACTTCGTATACCACTTTCTTTTCTTTTGAAGGTTTTTCCTCATGATTTTTTAAAATAAATATTGGTGGCGACTCCATTGTTTTCTTTCATTTAGAAACTTAATTTTGTTATCCAATCGCAATTTTGGTTGCAACAGTAAATAAGGTAACATAATACTATACAAAAACAAGTATACACAAATATAAAATCCTAATAATGGTTAAAGAAGACAATATTAAACCCTAATTGTGATAATAAAAATAACTTTTTTTAGGGAAACAAATTTCAACTTCACTTTTGATTACAATATTGAAGGTAAACACAATAAAAATTGAAAATCGATAATCTTTAAATGGAAAAATATCAAAATAAATTAGTAAACAAGATTACATAATACTAGACTGAAAGAGATATAAACAAATATAAAACCCTAATCATGATCAAAGAAGATAATATGAACCCTAATCGTGATAAAAGAAAAAGGTAACTTGAAAAAAATTTCAACTTCACTCTTTGTTACAACATTGAAGATAAACACAATAAAAATTGGGAATCGGTAATTTTTTAATGGAAAAACTTTGGATCAAAGCAAATCAATAAGTAAAATTATATAATATTATATTAAAACAGGTAAAATAGATATAAAACCATAATCATGGTCAAACAAGACAATATTAAACTCTAATCGTGATAAAAAAAGTAACTTTTTAAGAGAAACAAATCAATTTCGTTCTTAATTACAATATTAAAAATAAATATAATAAAATTTGGAAAATAGTAACATTTAAATAGAAAAACTTTAGATCAAAGTAAATCAATAAAAATACATAATCATAATAAACAAATCTATAACTCTATCATATTAAAAAAGGTAACCTTTTTTTACGAAATCAATAACTTTTAAATGAAAAAAATAATATAATATATCTGAGCCCCTATAAATTATATGCATCCACAACTTTTATAAGATAAAAATGTTAGTTGAAAAAGATGTTCTATAAAAGAGATTTAATGTTTATTTTGAGACACTAATTTTATATGGAAAAAAAATATATTGTATTTTATTAGCTGTAACATTACCGAGAGATGAAGGCGTGCAGTGTGTATTGAAGGATGGAGTGTTAGAATTAATTTAATTAATTCATTCCATTATGTGACTCATGTGAAATATAATAATGGGCCCAAATGTGATTTAATAAAATATGAGGACCTATTGGTTATTATGTGAAGTTAGAATAAAATAAAGATAAAATAAAATATTAACTTACGGTAACCAACTTGATGGACGTTGGTTAATTGAATGGAATAAGGGTTCTGTCTCTGGTCATAAAGTTTTTCACGGTAAACCATCAAGAAAGCGAAGCGTGAGAAGAAAAAGAAAGACAAAGAGATAGATTGGGAAAAAGGAGATTGGAGAACGAGAAGATTAAAGAATAGATTTTCATGGATCAAGGTTAGTTCTCTTATTATGATTCATGTATGTTATGTTGTGAAAATCAATAATCTAAAGATCCTGTAGAGTAGTTTTCCATAATGAATTAAGAACGTAGAAAAACTACATAATGTTTTACATGTGGTATCAGAGCCTGATTATTAGATTTATGATTTTCCTTTTATGAAAATATTTCTCAAATGATGTTTTTCCCAAATTAAGATAAACCCTAATTATGAATTTAGGAATTTCTCTATCAGATTAGTATGAACCCTAATTTATTCCCAATTTTATTTTTCTCAAAATTAAATAAAGGAATAAACCCTAATTATGTTTTCAAGTTCAAATTGAAACCAATTTTATAGTCCCTATGCATGAATGACCCTGTAATCCTTTCTAATTGAAAAGACAAATGACGTGATAGGGTTAGGGTGAATCATGTATGAAATTAGTTTTATTGTATATTATAATTATGATGAGATGTTATGATGAAATGTTATAATTATGATGGATGAATGGTAAACTGTAAAGTTGATAAACTTTGCGCGTAGAGAGCACGTGTTAAACACATGTTTCATATATTATATTATATTATTTATAATATTATTTTGTAAGTACATATTTTTTTTTAGTGAAAGATAATTAAAGAGTTATTTTATGTTAAAGTGAGTTGTATAATATACTCATACTGTAAAATGGGTACTTGTAAAGCTTTGTTATGGGTACCTTAAATTTGTTAAGGTTGTTAATGTACTTGTGAAGTTTTGTTAAGGTTGTTAATATACTTGTTTTGTTAATGTAATGTGAAGCTTTACTTGTAAAACTTTGTTAATGGACCTATAATGTAAACATTGATAAATGAATGAATTTTGTTTTGCAAACTGAATTGTATTGTTTCTACTTGTGTTTAAATTACTCATGAAAGTTTTGAATGGATGACAATTTCACTTTTACGTGAAATGCAAATAAAGGTCTTGGATTGAAAATCAATCTTAGGATGAAAATTGAAATTATGAGTTTCAATTTTATTCATGATACATAATATTTTATTATGTGAATAATGTACATATTTATTAAAATTAATAATAATAATAAAAAAATGCTATGAATGGTTAATAGCAATTAAAGTGTTATTTATTTGAAATTAAGCATGATAAATTTTGTTAGTCACCAAAGTGGCCAAAATTTTAAGGTTATTTTGATTTCAAATTATTAGTGATTTTATTTCAATTACCCATAGTATGAACGCTAAAATTATGAATAATGATTTATGGGCTAATTGAAGTTCATTATTATAAAACATTTCAGGATCACCCAAAGGTTGATTAATTGTTATTATAATTAATGAACATGAAAGTAGATAATTTTACGTGCATCACTAGTTTTATTTATATACCCAAAGGTGTTTGGTGATTCTAGTTGATGCATATTTTAATTATCATTAATGTTATAAAAAGATTAGCGTAATTATGTTTGTGTATTAGTGGATCTCCCAAAGGAGAACATTAGTATGCATAGAATGGTTATTTATGTTTGAATCTGTATTTATATTTAGTTTTTATGACTCAAAGCGTTAATGTTAGACATGTGTTAATTGAAGTATTTGTTTATGTATTTCTACATTCGCTTACTTCGTCTGTTCCAGTCTTTAATAGATTAAATTCCCTGACTGGAGTGAGAAAGTCCAATTTCACTTAGGTGAGTTGGATTTTGATTTGGCTTTCCAAGTTGAAAAACCAGCTGCTATCACTAATGCTAGTAGCAACAAAGAGAAAACTCATTATATTGGAAAAGGTCAAACAGACTTAGTCTTATGTTTATGCGAATGAGTATTGCAAGCAATATTAAGTATGCTTTTTTTCAAAACTAAAGACGTGAAAGAATTTATGAAATTTGTGGAAGAGCGCTCTCAAACTGCTGA